ATTATTTTTAATGGCGTCTTAGAAATACTGACCTCAAATTATTGCTTAAAAGGAAGGAAAAAACCGCAACGACAAAAGTAGAACAAAAATAAATTACGTTTTTGTTTTGTTTTGTTTTTTTAAACCATAACCGGAGCACAGCAGTTTTTAAATGTATAGAACTGTCTGCAAGAATAGTCCTACGATCCCGACGCACGCTTTTTCAAAGTTAAGCTGCAGTTTTAAAAGGAGCACTTGTGAAACACATAGCTTGGAAATTGTGTGTTTTGCTGTAGACCAGTTACAATTAAGTGTGGACTTCTTTATTTCTCTTGAATGAATAGAAACGCGGAGTCTATGATAAGGAACTTCTTCCGTATTATCCTTACAGAGATGATGGGGAGCAAATCTTGAAAATTATAGAAAATATGGTGAAGGAATACGTCGACTTTTAAGTATTACTGCCCCGCGGGAAAAAAGACAAACTTGCAACTCTGTATCAAAGACCAACTTCCTAAAAATAGTTTTGATCGCTTGATCATAAATCTGAGAAATGTCTGTGGTTAGGTAATTAACAAAGCTAAGTCTGACTAAGAAAATGTGGCGTTTTGATAGTAAGCCCATCTACCTTGGGTATTGGGATAGCGGCAAAAACACGAAGTTCTGACAAAGAGCTAATCCTCGAAACGCCACGTTTCCTAAGCTCGCTATGGCAGTTCATGTCGATGATTTTAAGACTAAGCGTTTCAATTGTCTTTTGACGCAGCACAAGAGTTTCTTAAAAGGATCATTTCCCAACGAATGTTTATACCGAGTATGGTACTTGCATTAGAGCGATACCCTGTCCAATGTCCAATGTCTCCAATAAGTGATCAAACCTTAGACCTTCCAATTTCTAGTCGAATCCTCAACCAAATAGCCGCAGATGACTCGTGGCGGGATATGCCTTTGCATACTAGGTACGGGCTTAAGACACTATCTTCGGACCTTCCTTTAGAGTGCAATGTATGCAAATACAAAAGGTAGACGGGGGGTGATGACTTATAGAATACATTTTAACTTTAATTATCCTTGAAAAACTCCTTGTGGGAGTGTCAGTAAACGTTTTGCATTGTATTGTTTCCTCAGGTATTATTACGACAATGAAGATGTTCAAAACGACCATGAGTTTCAGAGATACCTCCATGAATTGTCCAGTGATTCACTACCGATTTTCCACGGTCGCTATGGGAAAGTAAGTGTAAAATTTTACATGTAAGATACTTCACGATATTTGGGGTAGTGCAGGGGTAATCGCTCTTTCCACTCAGCTCATTCCCCTGGACACGTAAAGCGGCTTGTTCTGGATTTACATGAAGAACTGGACTTCAATCAGTTAAACGCTGAAATCTGCTCTAAGTTCGCCGTGCTATCTAAAAATGGTTTATTTTGTGTTTTAACAGATTCAAGGATTACCCTCAAAGATTGATACTAAAGACAAACTCTGCGATATTGTGACCCGCATTATCTCACAACTGAGCGTCCAACACGCTGCTGTAAACTATCCCCTGTCAGACTATGCTGAGTACACTCCTAACCTACCAACCAAACTGTACAACGATACCAGGGTGAAGGAAGGCGAATTCTCCGTGCTACGTCTGCCAAACAGAAACACCTCCTCTGTAAGTTGTGTGACATTATTGAATACTTACGCTGGAAATGGCATGGTCATGGGTTCAATCATGCGCACCTAGCTTGTACCGTTAGAGAAGTGCAGTTTGGTATCGTATGAAAAGCTAAGGCGTATACATTTAAATTTCGTGAATCTGGCCTTAATTATTATTCAGCGCCTTCCTTTCTCCCCCAACGTAGTGTACTTGGGAGTACATTGGAAATGCATTTTACACACTGTATTTCCAAACAGACAAAATTAATAAGGTGAAAGGAAAGAACGTGTCTGTTACCGTTTGTGAGCTCCCTACGGTAGCATAAACAGAAGTGTCCTTTTGAAGGTCGGA